AAGTAAGTAAGTAAGTAAGTAAGTAAGTAAGTAAGTAAGTAAGTAAGTAAGTAAGTAAGTAAGTAAGTAAGTAAGTAAGTAAGTAAGTAAGTAAGTAAGTAAGTAAGTAAGTAAGTAAGTAAGTAAGTAAGTAAGTAAGTAAGTAAGTAAGTAAGTAAGTAAGTAAGTAAGTAAGTAAGTAAGTAAGTAAGTAAGTAAGTAAGTAAGTAAGTAAGTAAGTAAGTAAGTAAGTAAGTAAGTAAGTAAGTAAGTAAGTAAGTAAGTAAGTAAGTAAGTAAGTAAGTAAGTAAGTAAGTAAGTAAGTAAGTAAGTAAGTAAGTAAGTAAGTAAGTAAGTAAGTAAGTAAGTAAGTAAGTAAGTAAGTAAGTAAGTAAGTAAGTAAGTAAGTAAGTAAGTAAGTAAGTAAGTAAGTAAGTAAGTAAGTAAGTAAGTAAGTAAGTAAGTAAGTAAGTAAGTAAGTAAGTAAGTAAGTAAGTAAGTAAGTAAGTAAGTAAGTAAGTAAGTAAGTAAGTAAGTAAGTAAGTAAGTAAGTAAGTAAGTAAGTAAGTAAGTAAGTAAGTAAGTAAGTAAGTAAGTAAGTAAGTAAGTAAGTAAGTAAGTAAGTAAGTAAGTAAGTAAGTAAGTAAGTAAGTAAGTAAGTAAGTAAGTAAGTAAGTAAGTAAGTAAGTAAGTAAGTAAGTAAGTAAGTAAGTAAGTAAGTAAGTAAGTAAGTAAGTAAGTAAGTAAGTAAGTAAGTAAGTAAGTAAGTAAGTAAGTAAGTAAGTAAGTAAGTAAGTAAGTAAGTAAGTAAGTAAGTAAGTAAGTAAGTAAGTAAGTAAGTAAGTAAGTAAGTAAGTAAGTAAGTAAGTTATAGTAAGTGAGTAAGTGAGTTATTAGAGGTAAGTAAGTAAAGACGCATTTTGTATTACATCACTTATTTGTTGTTCGACAATTCCACCTGTTCCAACTAATATTGTAAACACTTTGTTTGCTAGCAAATGCATTCTCTGAAATATGAAAAGGATCAAGAATAGCTGCGTTACAGAGATCTCTGACAAATAAAAAGTATAAGTATATTTCGTACCATATATATGTCGAAAGTAATCGACAAAATAGTGAACAATCAGATAAGACTGCATCTTGAAAAATATTCTATAGATACTAACTGTCTGTTCAATCAGATTTTAGACCGGGATTCAGTTGTACGATACAGCTTTACAGCTTATTAATATTGTTGACGATATTATACACTGTGTCCAAGATAAGGATGTCTATCATGGGGATCTCGGAAACCATAAGAGATACGAAGATGGTTAAATTAGAGAAAAGTTGCTCGTTTTCGAGCATAACATCATGATGTTTGAAAATTTTCAAAATGCCGAGTATTTCCGGAGATATGGCTGAAAAACCGAAATATGCCGATTTCGTTTTCATTTTTTATGACGTTATTTGAAGATTGCTAGGAAAACAAAAGACATTTTCTCATTGCCACTTTTTGAGCTCTACAAAATAGCGTTGAGAGATTTTCCGTACAACGTTTCGTTTCGGAGAAACCATCATCAACTTTTTTTTTTTATATGGCCCGTAAAAAAACGAATACAACGATGTATGACACATAATGATTCTGCAATATTTGAATCAGGAAAAAATGGTTTTTATCATTATTTCGAACGTTTTGGTGTAGTAGGCGGTGAAATGACGGCGCTGAGAAAATGTCAAAACACTTTAATCGACATATTATTGACACAAAGTGTTTTTGAACTTTGTTCTTGCTAGAGAAGTTTCTATCGAACAGATTCCTGGGAAAATGGATAGGTACACATTCAACAGTTTCTGGGCCTCCTCGTTCGCCGGACATCACTCCGCTCGATTTTTTTCTCTAGGGGTATTGCAAAAATTATGTTTACCGCCGTATTTTTTAACCTGATAAGTTGAGAAGTGTTTTTAATTCGTCAGTTAGAAGGTTTTATCTCCGTTTTTTTGGATTTCTAGTGAGTAGTTCTTAACTAATTTGTTTAATTAATTAACATATGACGTGACCTACCTACGTATTCAAATGAAGTTTTTAAATCCACAATAATGTGATTTCAATACAATATTTTGAAACACGAGTAATAATAGCATACTACACGTACCACACTCAGCGCCGTCATTTCACCGCCTACTACACCAAAACGTTCGAAATAACTATTTTTTTCTGTTTTTCTGATCAAAATATTGCAGAATTATTATCTGTCATACATCGTTGTATTTGTCAAAAAATATGCTATTTTATACAGGGTATACTTTTTTTCGGGCCATATAAAAAAATGAAGTTGATGATCGTTTCTCCGAAACGAAACGTTGTACGGAAAATCTCTCAACGCTATTTTGTAGAGCTCAAAAAGTGGCAATGAAAAAGTGTCTTTTGTTTTCCTAGCAATCTTTAAATAACGTCAGAAAAAAATGAAAACAAAATCGGCATATTTCGGTTTTTCAGCCATATCTCCTGATATACTCGGCATTTTGAAAATTTTCAAACATATATGATGTTATATGCTCGAAAACGAGCAACTTTTCTCTAATTTAACCATCTTCGTATCTCTTATGGTTTCCGAGATCCCCATGATAGACATTCTTATCTTGGACACAGTGTATAAGGGCTACAGATGCAGGTAAAACAACAGGGCCGATACTTTTAGACTATTACATCATAAACCACCAGGTTCTGCTTTTCATCCTTCATTTTGTAGGCTTTTCGGCCAATGCCATCAATCAAACTCATGGCTAACCATACACAATAATAGGTGCCAAATCGTAGAAATAAGTGTCGGACAGTCTGGAAGGTAATATATATGTGACTAGTGGTGTTCCCCAGGGATCTATACCTGGCCAATTAATTGGTGTTCAGTATATACACTTATAACTTTTATCGAGTAGGTACTTATACATTTCTAAATCTCACTTTTATGCTGATACACAGCTATAGCTAATTATATTTTTCACAAAAAGCGGCTTTATTAAGAAAACTTGATGATTTAGGTATAGGGCTATGTCATCTTGTAGCATTTTTATTCGTCTTTCAATTTATTAAGTAAAAAACAGTGGGGTTCCATTTGAAAAAATGAACTTTTGACCACTTGCATGAACAACGGATATAATAATAATTCCAGCACGCCCTGTATGATATGGAGGCGACTTCTCGGTGTAAATTGAATACATCAAGCCTGTCCAAACCACCACTGAAATATCAACTCTTTATGATTCTAGAGCCCTGATGATTCACATAAGTTTAATTATAGGGATATGGTTTGGATCATATTTAACACAAATTATTTTTTATCTCGAAAACCGAGAGAGATAGGTATAGGGATTTATTAACAAAAGAGTACTGTGATAAAAAGGCAATTCTAAAAATTTGTCGTCGCAATTTCGAAAATATTTTAGATCGATAGAACAGGATAAAATGTAGGATGCGAAATGTTCAGAAAAATCCTGCGTTGCGTTCTCTATAAACGTCTAACGTACCATCGACCGTGAGTTACCCTGTATAGTTCCATCCTTATTCAATTCTGGCGATTAACAGTGAACACTAGATCTCCGACATTTGTTCTTTTTTAGGCTATATTGAGGACCTTGGCGTATCATACGTAATTTCCACATGGAATTCATTCAACTCTATATATCATATCCAAATGATGATCAATAAATTTTTGAGCTTTCAAGTTTTCAATTCCAGCAAAATCTTATTTGTGAGGCAGTGAGCATACATTTTTCTGAAAGTTAAATATGTTCTTCCTACGACCACCTATGGAAACAGCACAAAACACATTGATTTGTTAAAACCCGAGAACGCTCGCACCACGGTCGTTTTGCCGCCAAGCATTAATTTTGCCCCTCCCACATTTATTTGGGCCGGGATTTTACGACCCGCTCACAAGTCTTCCTAAGTCGAACCGGCGGGCCAGTTCACGTTTGGTTTCGGTCAGAGGGTGTTGTTTGGTTGGAGCTGAAAATTGACAATTGGTCGTTTCCACCGACGCGCGAGCATTTAGAGGTTTGTACCAAATTATTCATTGTCTACAAGGAAATTGGGGGTTATAATCAAGTAAATGTGGCAAAATCAATTAGATAATAGTAGATAACTCTTTATAGATACTGAATACCTTCAATAAACAGCACAAATACTGACGAATTTTGGGATTTTCTATAGTCGGTCAAAACGACCAGCCGCGAGCATCAACGTAACTTTTCATTTTTGTTCAGAAATATACCAACTTTGTGTTCATAGTCGATAGAGTTTTCATAAGAAGTGTATCAATAGCTGAATACCTTTGATAAACACAACACCACAAATACTGACAAATTTGGGGATTTCCTATAGTCGGTCAAAACGACCAGCCGCGAGGATCAACGTAACTTTCTAGTCGCGAGTGTTCTCGGGTTTGAGAAAGTGACTCCCTTCACTATATATGACAACATATAACAGTTAGAAAGTTCGAAAGCAACTCACATGGGTGGAAATATTCGAAAATCGCACAGTAACAGGGTCTATAGATTATGATGTACCAATAATGAATGATTATTATGCTGAATTATGGTAAGTTATTATGGTCAAGTTAATGGAAAGTGTCGATTAAACATTAGTTACTGTCGTTAATGTTGACGTGTTAAGTTGATGAAAGTTGAAATCAAGTTAATTTCGATTGAAAGTTGAATTAATGTCAATGTATTGGCAATTTATTGATTAATGTGAAGTTAATGTCAATTTGATATTGAGTTGATGTTAATTTGATTTCAAGGTAATGTCAAGTTAATTTTGAGTTAATGTTGAGTTATTATTAAAAGAGAAAGGAGCTATGAACTGTCCGTACCCTGTTAAGATGACAAATTCGTACGGTACCTAGAGTGGGAAGAAGATTGAATATACCTATTTGAATTCTAAAATAGTCATTATTACTGCATTCACAACAACTAAAAAAATAGTGAAAATCGATTCAGCAATTGATTGGCAACTTGATGTTTGTAGAGAAACAAATAAGAACAATACAAAATATTTATTCACTTTTATTCATACGTCAAGTATAAAACCAACAACTGAAAAACTTATATAATTCCAATTTTGTTAGCAACATCTAACGCATCATAATCCCTAGCCAATCGCACGTAAGCTTTTTTCTTGCCGTCTGGCCTGATCAAAGTATTAACTTTAGCCACATTAATATCGTACAACTTCTTAACCGCCGCCTTGATATGATGCTTGTTCGCCATGGTGTGCACCAAAAAGACCAACGTGTTGTTGTCTTCGATCTTCTTCATGGCCGCCTCTGTCGTCAGCGGGAACTTGATGATATTGTAGGCGTCCATCCTGGATCTAGTGGGCACGCTCTTGCGCGGGTATTTGGGCGCCCTGGGCGGCCTCAAGGTTCTAGGGCGGTGGAAGTGCACCGAAGTACGGATTATGCGGCTGTGCGTTCCGTTGGGCCCTTTGATTACCTGCAAATTGCAAAGTTACATATCCTGTGGAATAGACAGAGGAGATGGCTTGGTTTAGCCGCCTGTCAGAGCTGTGTTTCATTTACTTTTCATTGGATTCTTTCAAAGAGATTCCCACACATTCCCTTCATCATGAGATCGTCCGTAGTGTAGACATTGATTAATTGCCTTCATTACAAGAAACACTGTTGTTCATTATAGGGATATTCAACATAATGTGGTAGCAAGAGAGATACAGGTTATCGAAGGTAAAATTGTATAAAATCATAATTTGCTATCTACTTCAGTTATGTTATCGATGGTAATACCACGAGTCCTTCAAATTTGATCGATAATTTATTTAATTTTCTACAAGAACTTCAAATTAGTTTGATATGAAAATAAAAAATTATAGTATAAAATTTGAGGGACGAGTTGTATTTGAAAGATTATTTTTTACCAATTTGATAAAAAGATACTAGCAAATTTCACTAGTCAAAATTAATACTACTTCCTTCTATTAAGATTGATCAAATAGTTCAGGTGAGTGGCATACCTTTGCAGTGACTATAAGCGAGGATGCGTAGATATCATTGAACTCTACAGTGGATTTTCACCGGCCACATAGACAAACAAAACGTAATCGATTTGATTTTGCTATTCAAAAGGAAACTTCACAATGCTTTTCGAAATTTTGAAAAAGTCAACTTCAGCACCCTGTATAATCCAAACTATGAATCCAGAGCGTTTATAATTATTGGGACATCTGATCAGCATCACGAGTTCTACGATATATCCAAAATTGGAGAAAATTCACCGACAGCCAATTTCCCCCCTATTGCGATGCGGGGTCCTTTGCGAGTCGAACAAAGTCACTTTTGATCCGAATGAAACATGCTATTTTTTCTGCAACCGAAACAATCAACTTAAATAAATATGTGAAGTAACCACCAATGCCGTGCCATATGTATATGGAATGCAACAAATATTGACAAATAATGTGTGTGGTGAGAATATTCTAACTGCATTAATAGCAGGTTTATTCAATTTTCAAGGATGTTGTAGTTTCAATATAAATACAAACACAGAGTGACATATTTGTGTGTGAACAAGAAGAGGAAAATGTTAGGTTAGTGAGCATATCAACAATAATAATAGCGATTATTTATTCCTCCCCACACTACACTGTGTTTGATTTGATTATCAAATGAAGCTCAACAATATCTTTGTTTGAGACGAAAAAACTATTGCTTGCCGTGATTATTCAAAAACGAAATCCATCCCGAGAATAACGACTGAAATAGTACAGATCAAGCAAGTATTTGAATCTTGAAGGCTATCCTGATCAAAACAAAAATACTTAACTGAGATGTTAATAATTTCAATACTCAACTATAATAAGGTGTATTTATATATCCAGCATCGGTATGAAATGCCAAATCTGCCGAAATCGGAAACAAATCAAGTATGTGTCTCAACCCAAATAACAAACCGTCACAATGTTGTTTTTCTGCAACCGACACAAAAGTCGTCCATTTTGATTCCAAAATTAGCTCTTAAATTGACGTTTCTATTACTGACACAAAAATAGGTATGTTGCTAGGCAACATATTTAGTTCCTTGGAGCTAAAGTTGAATTTTAGTTCCTAGGAGCTAAAGTTCAACTTTAGCTCCTAGGAACTAAAAATGATCTACTGGACGTCATCAAGAATAAACAACATTGTGACGGTTGGTTATTTGGGTTGAGACGCATACCTGATTTGTTTCCGATTTCAGCAGATTTGGAATTTCATACTTGCTTGATCTGTATTTCATTCGTTATTCTCGGTATGGATAACTTGTTTTTGAATAATCACGGCAAGCAATAGTTTTTTTGTCTCAAACAACGATATTGTTTAGCTTCATTCGATTATCAAGTCAAACACAGCGTAGTATGGAGAGGAATAAATAATCACAATTATCATTGTTGATATGCTCACTAACCTAACATTTTCCACTTCTTGTTCCTATAGCTGGCACTGGCGCGGTATTTGCCATTAGAGCACCTGGTCCATACACAAATATGTCACTCTGTGGTTGTATTTATATTGAAACTACAATTCGAACATCCTAGAAAACCTAACCTGCTGTTAATGCAGGTAGAATATTCTCACCACATGGATTATTGGTCAATATTTGTTGCATTGTATACATATGGCACGGCATTGGTGGTTACTTCACATGTTTATTTAAGTTAATTGTTTCGGTTGCAGAAAAAATAGCATGTTTCATTCGGATCAAAAGTGACTTTGTTCGACTCGCAAATTTTGCTTTCGCTCGGCTTCGCTAAACGCTCCGCCTCGCAAATGCAAAATTCGCTTGACAAACAAAGTGTCACTTTTGATCCTAATAAAACAATCTACTATTTTTCTTGATGACGTCCAGTAAATCGTTTTTAGTTCCTAGGAGTTAAAGTTCAACTTCAGCTCCTAGGAACTAAATATGTTGCCTAGCAACAAACCTATTTTTGTGTCAATAATAAACGTCAATTTAAGAGCTAATTTTTGTATCAAAATGGATGACTTTTGTGTCGGTTGCAGAAAATAGTAGATTGTTTTATTAGGATCAAAAGTGACACTTTGTTTGACAAGCGAATTTTGCATTTGCGAGGCGGAGCGTTTAACGAAGCCGAGCGAAAGCAAAACGACCCCGCACCGCAATAGGGGGGAAATTGGCTTTCGGTGAATTTTCTCGAATTTTGGATATCGTAGATCTATCTCGTGATGCTGATCAGATGTCCAAATTATCAACGCTCTAAATTCAATAGTTTGGATTATACAGGATGCTGAATTTGACTTTTTCAAAATTTCGAATGGCATTGTGAAGTTTCCTTTTTGAATACCAAAATCAAATCGACTATATTTTGTTTGTCCATGTGTTCAATGACATCTGAACGTAGATATCATTGAACTCTTTAGCAAAATTTGCGAATCAGAAATACAGAGTATCCCAAAATTGCTGGGACACAGAGGTAAAATGTGTAACAGGGGTCAAAATAAGTTGATTGGGCACAATTTATTTATATACCAAAATGTACCGTTTGTCCCGAGGTTTGTCCGCAAGAAGAGCTAGCTCTAAGTTAACATAAAAAAAGTGCATTTCAATTTTTTACGTTGAATTGACCATTTTATTGATCAAGGTGATCAAATTGAACATTTATTATAAAAAACGATCTGCCTTTGTTTCCACTGACAACTAAATTTGGTATTACAATTTCATTAAACTTGTACCTTTACTTTTTTTCCTTAGGAAATATATATATGCAGTACGAAGTTTTTACAATAGTAACAAAATGAAGATAATTCATCTGCCTACTTGTTAAAAAAAATCAGAACTGTATGATAACCCTCAAGAATGTTCTGAAAAAAATGTATGGGGCTGAAGGTAGTTTCAATCCTTTTGCAATTTTTTTTTGGGTTTCTTTGATAACTGAAAGCAGAATGATCCTTTAAAATGCACTTCAGTCAAATTTCAATGAATTTGTTTCCCTCATGTCTGAACAGCGAACAGAAGTGTTTTTTTTTATGTAAACTTTCAACTTTTCTCGCGGACAAACGGTACATTTTGATATATAAATGAATTGGGTCCAATCAACAACCTTTATTACAGGTGGTAGCTCCTATCCCAGCCAGTTTTGAGAGACACCCTGTACGTAAGTAGGTACCTCTACCTATTCATATCAACTCATGATAAAGAGTTAGCAATTTGGGAATGAAAGAAGTACCAGAGGAAGACCTTTTTTAGTTTTTGATCCAGTTTCTACCTATACCAGGATGAAACAGGATCATGGTACTCTAAACATTCAATATTCTGGCATTCAATATAAGAAAATAACTTGGAAAATAGTAATTTAATGAAGGTTAAAAATAATCTTTTTCTATGGCTATAACAGAAAATTGCTTTTTGTTTTACTGTGTATGTATGTCATCAATTTCATTTCCGTATCTGATATCACAATGACTTCACTGTGATAATATTTCACAAAATCTCATCTTCCATGATATGTCAAATTTCAAACAATGACAGCTCTGTCTAACAGATGAGAAATACCATGCAAAGAGAAAATCAGCCGTAAAAAAATAATAGTGTATAACTCGCAGGTAATGCTTATTTCCCACTAGTATGATTTGCAGCTTTATTCTCGTGGGAATTGACTATCATTCCATGCTCGTTAAAAAATATAATATTCTGCATGAGGAAGGATAATAGGTTCTTTTCCGAACAATTCAACCTTACTCGGTCTAAATGAACTTTCTTCCTAAAAAATATATATTTTTCAAAGAATTACTTGAGAGAACAAAAGATACTACTTTTTCTAAACAATCTTACCAAACTCTGTTTCTTTCAAAACAATCGTACCTAACTCGGCATAAATGAACCTTCTTCTTGAAAAAAAATATTAGGTGAATTACTTGAGAGAACACAATCAAGAAATAGGACCCTAATAAACGAAATTCATCAATAATACCACAATTTCCGAAAGTTTGCTTTCCTCAAAGGTAGGGAACCACCACAGGAAGTCAAGTTATGAAAACAATTCGTAATATAAGGTTTAAAAGTCGGGAGACTGAAACTAAAGTCGGCGGTTTTATAAAACATGATGACTATTTATTATACAGGGTGTTTCAAAAAAACCTGACCCCCTTGCTAGGGGTAGGTAGAACACTGCAAAATAAGTTGGGTATGCTCAGTGAAAAAATGTCGTAACGGCATCCGTTTTCATGATACAAGGTGTTGAAAAAATGATTTTTTTACACATTTTTCTCGATTATGTCGAAACTACAGGCAACATTGTAATGAAATTTTGTATGGATGTTTCTTGAAATCTGACAAATCGCATGAATTTGTTTTTATATCTGACTCTCATAGAGGGCGCTAGTTACATGGTTCGTACCGAATAGTTTAGAACATAACTTTTTTGAGGTTAGATTTTTCTATCAATCCAAATATGATATGAACTTGAACATCATTCAATTTACACC